AACCATAAAGTTACAAAAGCACATCTAAATGCATTAAAAAAGTATAAAAATACATTGCGGCACCTTTCATGCCCAAAGCGTACATTGAACTCTAAGAGAAAAGTCCTAATTCAAAAAGGCGGATAAGTTCGTTGCTTTCTGGAATTTTTGGAAAACTTTTAAAACATGATTAAAAGTAAACACAATTTAACTAAAGTCATTTTAATGAATCCTAACTCATACGAAAAATTGCTAAGCAATGATAACGGAAATGAATTAATAAATATGAAATTCCTTCCTATTTTAAATAATAAAGAAATAAGTGATTTTGATAAGTGGTTAAAAATTAGTCAGGAACTGAGTTACTATCAAAATAAAAAACGTATTAAATCCTGGAATATTCAATATTCACAAAAATCACCTCTTATTTCTACAAGAACAAATTAATCTCAAACCACCGATTGGATTGATATGAAACCCAGCACATCAAAATTAAAGTATGATCATTCACCGATAGAAAAAATACAATCTCTCCCCTTACCACCAGAAACGGATGACAGGGTTTTTAATCCAATTCAAATGAAAAACAAAATGATTTTCCAGAAAAACGAAAGTTAAGAGATACTTCTTTTTTGGACAGTAAAATAGATATAAAGAAAATAGGATTGGAAAAAGTAGTAACAAAAGTGAAGCTTAATGAACGACAACGAAAATTAAAAGCAAAACTACAAAAATTAAAAATTGAAACATCACCATATAAAGATCTTAAATATGTAACAGGTCGTGAAAAGTTAACACGATCGGTTCGAGCAAAAATCCCTATACAAACTAGAAAAAACAAAATAAATTGGATTTCATATCAATAACCAAAAATGGGTTATTTAAAAGAGATTTGTATCACCTTGCTCAGTAATGATTCCATGAATGTTTTTCCCGATAACGTTAAGTGTGCATTTACAAATATTGTGAATATTCCTGAAGATATGAACGATGATTGGAAAGTCGGTATTACAGATATATATTTGAATAATTACATTAAGTTTACACCTAACCAAGATACAAGTGTTCTTGAAGAAACCGAATTTGTTAGTCTAGTAAATGCTGAAACATTTAGGTATAAAAATGTTCCGTTGAATCAAAAATACCTGAAAATGGATTGATTTTTATTTACACGGATATAATAAAACCAAGGTCAGTAGGTAGTAAAAGACCCAGATGTCTTCGTGTAATGCATTATAACGGAAAGGAAAAAAATATTCAATTTAAAAATTGTTAGCGCCTGCACTTGAGTCCCTAAGATGTCAACAGCAGCCACAGCCAGCGCCAGCTCAAACCCCGCTACCTGCCGTTCCAGCATTCTATTTTTACTAACCCTAGCCTATTAATCCCTTGCATGGGAGACAAATTGTATGACTTTGTAATTCTGTATATCTTAGAACCTAAGTGATGCAATGTATTTATAACTAACAAACCCCCATGCGATACCTTCGCCATGGTGGCTCTGAAATCATGTATATAAACCCCAGATATTCCCAAATAAAATCAGTACTCAAGCAATACTTGTGTATTCAACATCTCCGAGTTAACCCAATTTATGTGTTGGTTTAGCGGCCTACTGTCACTAGATTATGTTCTAGGGGCAACCTAAAATTATAAAACAATAAAAAGTAATTCTACGAACATTTTGGTGACCCCGACCAGTGTATGAAATTCTAGTCAACTTGGCGACTAATTTTTACACATACGAACTAGACAGATTCTCGATCAACTTGGCGATCGAATCATCTAGATTCTTAAATCTGTTTTTATCATTTGATTAACAGAAAAGATAACTAGGGAAATCTGGCTCGAATAAAACTCCGACCGTTTTCCCGAACAACTTGAACATTGTTTCAAGGAGTAACTTATCAACTTGGCGATCTGTTACGAAATTATTGGAAGTCAACTTGGCGACTCCAATATTTAAACAATTTATAAGTAGAAGTAGTCAACTTGGCGATTCTTCTTACTTTATTAACAACAAAAAAATAAATCCGATTTACTGGAGTCAACTTGGCGATTCCCAGGATAATCGTCGATTTAAATCTCAAATTTAAAGTAGTCAACTGGCGACTCTTTATACATATCTTCAAAAATAAATCTGATTTACTGGAGTCAACTTGGCGATTCCCAGGATAATCATCGATTTAAAATCTAAATTTCAAGTAGTCAACTGGCGACTCTTATACATATCTTCAAAAATAAATCTGATTTACTGGAGTCAACTTGGCGATTCCCAGGATAATCATCGATTTAAAATCTAAATTTTAAGTAGTCAACAAGGCGACTCTTGAAATACATCAAACATTTGAAAAATAGAATATTTTTTTACAAATGGTGTTAATAAAATAAAAATTTTAAAAATAAAATAATTGGCTATATTTTCTAATCCAAAAAACCTTATGTGTCTTTGACCACTAAATCGGTTGCGAGTAGAAGCGTATCCAGCTTAATTAAAGCGAATAAATTAACTTCCCACGGGTCAGACACGTTAGTAAGGAAAAAATGGAGGTTGAAAAACTGATTGCCATTCAAAGCCAAATTGGTGAAGAGATCCAAGTTGTGCTTAGAAACATCAAAAAGGATTCTAACACAAGAAAAGAAAAGGTTACGTATTTCGAAGATAGGAAACGACAAATTGAAGATCTGTGGAAATCATTCGAAAAAGGAAATAAATCTATTCTTGAAGAATCTAAAGGTGCTGCAGTATTGCATGAATATTTCGAAAAGAATTATTATGAGCAGATGAAATTAATTGTTCATAAGGCTATGGAAGAATTCAATGCTAAAATTCTGCAATTTCCGACATTAGAGGCCACGTCTGATGAGGTGGAACAAATCAAACAAGAGAGAACGCTATAGTCGGGTGCCCCGCGACTATCAGATGCTACTCGACTATAACAAAAGTCAGAAAGGCGAAGGAGTTGGGGATAAAAACTTTGATCCGCCGTAACTTTTTAACGAATGGTCCGATTAAAAAAATTTCTTCAACATTTCGATAGGTATTCATAAACACAATAAAACTGCATTTTTACTTTTCCGAAATATTGAAATTTTTAAAATCGTATATAAGTGATTGTGGGCGTTAGAGGGGGCGTGGCGCCCTTTTGAAATAAACTTGCGCTGCGTAAGAACTCCTAGAATCTGCATGCAATATGTCAATCTTCTAGCTTTTATATTTTCCGAGATCTCAGCGTTCATACAGACAGACAGACGGACAGACAGACGGACAGACGGACAGACGGACAGACGGACAGACGGACAGACGGACATGGCTAGATCGACTCGGCTAGTGATCCTGATCAAGAATATATATAGTTTATAGGGTCGGAAACGCTTCCTTCTACCTGTTACATACTTTTGCACGAATCTAATATACCCTTTTACTCTACGAGTAACGGGTATAAAAATTGATTAGACACCAAGCAGCGGTTCTGGATTCGATGTCTCGAACTATGAATCAAATATGTCCAGACAATAAATTTACCTATAAAACGGTAATCGACAATTTATGGAAACAAATTGAAAGTCTGCATTTTGAAATCCATAAATTATGTATCGAACCTGAAAAGGCAGGTTACAGTATGGAACGATTTATCTCCGCTGAAAAGGCAATGCTACAATTTTGCCAACCATCAACTGATACAGTTTCAATAGCCACTAATCATGCGGTACCTTCGATTTCATCAATTCAATTGCCAAAGGTTTCCATTCCAAAATTTGATGGTAACTACTTAAAATGGCAACAATTCCATGACATTTTTAATAAAATGGTTAATGAATCAGCGATACCAAAAATACAAAAAATGTGGTATCTTAAGGCTAATCTGTCTGGAGAAGCAGAAAGATTAGTAAGGCATTTAGAGTTAACAGAAATTAACTACGACACTGCCTGGACAATGCTGAAAGAACGTTTTAATAATAAGCGTGTGCTGTCTACCGCAATATTTGAAAAACTTTTTGATCACCCTAACGTGTCAAATGATTCTCAATCAATAAAAAATCTGCATGACAATGTTAATGAATCGTTGCAAGCATTAAGAAATATGGGAATTATGACTGACACATGGGATCCGGTTCTAATTTTTCATATGACAAGAAAATTAGACCGAATTACTCATACTCTTTATGAGCAAACAATATTAGACACAAGGGAAATTCAAACAATAAAAGAATTTCTTGCGTTTTTAGAACAATGATTTCTGGCACTTGAAGCCATCGGTGGAAAGGCGCATAAGGAAAAACATAGAACAAGTGCCTCTGCAACAGCAAGTTCATACGCCTGCCTGTTTTGTCAAAAAGGGCATAGCATATACAAATGCGATAAATTTAAGGAAACTTCCCCTGCTGAAAGGCTGTCTAGGGTCCAGCGAAAGAAACTGTGTGTCAATTGCTTAAAGGCAGACCACATATCCAAACAATGCATGTCTAAATATACATGCATGAAATGTAACAAAAAACACAATACGTTGTTACATTTAAGTAACGGAAAATCTAATACTGAACAAAAAACAGCTGCTTCTGCTGCGACAAACAGTATTGAGAAAAGGTACACACTGTTAGCAACGGCTAGAGTGACAGTACAAGGAACCAATCGTCGAGAAGGAGACTTTCGAGCGCTCCTTGATTCCGGTTCACAGATCAATTTAATCTCGGAAAGATTGGTAAAGCGAATAAGCAAAGGACGCGTCAGTGTGTTAATTAAATCAAAACATAGTGACTTCGAAACAAGAGTTGAAGCCTTTGTTCTCCCGCACATGGTGGCAGATCAACCCACTGAACAATTAAAAATAACCGATCTAAAAATATCGAAAAACATTAATCTTGCGGATCCAAATTTTGATCGACCAGGAAAAATTGATTTGTTGCTAGGCGCAGAACATCATTTTTCTATTATTAAACCTGAGCAAATAAAAACATATCCAGGTTTTCCAATTCTACAAAATACTGAATTGGGTTGGATCGTTGCTGGAAAGGTTAACATGAGTGCAAAAATGCCACAGAACTGCATGGTAGTTTCCTCAGCTGAGGAAGCGAAATCATCGTTGGAAAGGTTTTGGAAGTTGGACCAATTAGAGCCAATTAGAAAATACAGGACTCCAGAAGAAAGGCACTGCGAAAAGCACTTTATTAATAATCTTCAGCACGCACAAGATGGCAGATTAATAGTCAGATTACCGTTTTCTGAAGATCCTTCAGCCCTGGGCAAGTCTTGCGATATCGCTACAAGGCGCTTCTATTCGTTGGAAAAAAGGACCTGTCCAGAAATTAAGAGGATGTACAACGAATTTATGGCAGAATATGAAAAACTTGGCCATATGAAGCAAGTGATGCCGGATCAAATACCGAAGGCTCACTACTTCATCCCACATCATTGTGCTCTGAAACCAGAGAGCACTACTACGAAATTAAGAGTAGTCTTTGATGCCTCCTGTAAAACGTCGTCAGGAAAATCTTTGAATGACGTGCTGCATCCAGGACCAGTTGTTCAGAGTGATCTGTTCTCTATATTATTGAGATTCAGAACTCACAAATATGTCTTCACTGCAGACATTGAAAAAATGTATCGCCAAGTATGGTTGAATCCAAATGATCAATTTAACCAAATGATTGTTTGGCGATATGATTCAAATGAACCAATAAAGTATTATAGGTTGAAGACGGTGACATATGGCACAACATCAGCTCCGTTCCTGGCCACTAAATGTTTGGAACATTTAGCCAACATTAACTCTGAAAAATGGCCACTAGGAGCAGCCGCATTAAAAAACGATTTTTATGTGGATGATTGCTTGACCGGAGCAGACACGATACAGGACGCAGAAAGGATTCAACAAGAACTAAATAAAATCCTGCTGCCGTGCGGATTTAAACTAAGAAAATGGTGCTCTAATACACACCAATTATTAAAAGGATTCCTACCTGAAGACGTCGTCAGCACCATAAATTTGGGTGCAGCGTTAGAACATACCAGTGTAAAAACACTGGGAATTATATGGACTCCAAAGGACGATCATTTGTGTGGCAGAGCACAAGAGCAAAAAACTCAGAGCATTACTAAAAGAGTGGTAGCTTCTGAGGTCGGTCAAATCTTCGATCCTCTTGGCCTGTTTTCACCAGTGATAATAAGGGCCAAAATATTTCTGCAAACCCTGTCACTTCAACAACTGGATTGGGATACGGAAATATCAGATTCCCTAAAGGAAAGGTGGGAGGCCATCAGACAGGATCTGCAACATTTAAACAAAATGAAAATTCCACGTCACATTTATGATGGGAAAGTTCCACAAAAACAGGAGCTACACATATTCGTGGATGCTTCTGAGAGGGCATTTGGTGCAGCTGTTTACGTAAGAGCCATTTATAAAAACAAACAAACAACTGTACGTTTGTTGTGCGCTAAGTCAAGAGTAGCGCCTCTAGAAAAACAAACCCTACCACGGTTGGAGTTGTGCGCGGCTGTTCTAGGAGCCGAACTAGCCGACAAAGTCAAAAAGGATCTAAGACTTAACACAGAATCCATTAAAACATTTTACTGGACAGATTCAACAATAGTACTTTCTTGGATCAATGCAAAGGCATCGAATTTCCATACATTCGTTGCAAATAGATTGTCCAAAATACAAGACACATCCAGTCCAAACCAATGGAGACATGTGTCATCAAATCTCAACGCCGCAGATGTGTTATCAAGAGGAATCCCCGCAGCTCAATTAGGCGCACACACTTTATGGTTATACGGACCACTATTTCTTCACGGACCTGAAGAGAAATGGCCATCCCTCTTTAAGGCCCCTAAAAACAACAGCATCTCATTGGAGAAAGCTAAAAATAGTCACTCTTGCAACAAGTTCGGAAGGAGACGAAATATACCGTATTAACCACGGAAACTCATTTAATCGTCTACAACGTATAATTGCCTATATGTTACGATTCTGTTATCGTAAAAACAGGAAGGATACAGTGCTGCTAGAGTTGGATGAATTGGAACAAGCCAGGAGGATAATAGTACGATGTGTACAACAAGCTGACTTCGCAGATGAGCTGAAACATTTACATCGACATCCTGAACGACCGATACCCAGCAGCAGTAAGGTGTCCTCTCTTGACTTGTTTTTGGACGAAAACTCTATTATTAGAGTAGGAACAAGAATCGAAAACGCACCAATTTCTCGTGATGCAAGGAATCCATATTTATTGCCTTACAACGACGAAATTGTGAAAATGTTGTTAGTAAAACTACATACCGAAAATATGCATTGTGGCCAAAATACCTTGAAGGGTATTGCTCGACAACAATATCATATTGTCAAAGCCACTTCCATGGTTAGGAATGTAATCATGAAATGCATTCCATGCACAAGATATCGTCCAAAATTGATGTCGCAAGTTATGGGAAAACTACCTGAGCATAGGGTTTCTCAAAATAGACCATTCCTTAACTCTGGAGTGGATTTTTGTGGACCCTTGAAGATTCATCACAAGGTCCGAGGCAAGCGACCTGATAAAGCATACATCGCCGTATTTGTATGTTTTGCGACGAAGGCGGTACATCTGGAAGTCGTTGGAGATTTAACAACTGCAGCGGATACTAAGATTTCAAATTTAAATAATTCATTGAAGTTGAGTTATAATGAGCTAAATGATCTTAGTAAGGAATTACTTCCCAGGCTCAAAATAAAAATGCCAACAGAGATCATTGATCTACCACACCACCACATAAGTGCCTATGTTGCCTTGTTTTTGTCGCTCGGAGTCATAGTTGTTTACTTGTGGAAACGATTCCAAAAGAAGACACCTCCACAAACGTCATCATCTTCAAAGGACATCGAACTAGCAGAACATCCTCGGTTACTCAGCTCATCAAGGATGCACCATCTGATGCCTTCGTCCGACGCCTTTGAGATCAACATTGGATGATGTTGAACACCTGTTCAACGGCCGGGAGTATGTTAGCGCCTGCACTTGAGTCCCTAAGATGTCAACAGCAGCCACAGCCAGCGCCAGCTCAAACCCCGCTACCTGCCGTTCCAGCATTCTATTTTTACTAACCCTAGCCTATTAATCCCTTGCATGGGAGACAAATTGTATGACTTTGTAATTCTGTATATCTTAGAACCTAAGTGATGCAATGTATTTATAACTAACAAACCCCCATGCGATACCTTCGACATGGTGGCCCCCTTGACTCTGAAATCATGTATATAAACCCCAGATATTCCCAAATAAAATCAGTACTCAAGCAATACTTGTGTATTCAACATCTCCGAGTTAACCCAATTTAAGTGTTGGTTTAGCGGCCTACTGTCACTAGATTATGTTCTAGGGGCAACCTAAAATTATAAAACAATAAAAAGTAATTCTACGAACAAAAATATTGAATATTATCCTTTGGATATATGGTCACCAAATGAAATCTCAATACTAATTACGGATTCAAGTGGATACAAGATCCCATTTGAAACCTCAGCTGTTCCGATTTTTGTTACACTTCACTTTAGAAGGAGGTTACCTGTCTAAATAAAACATTCCAAAAACTATATAAATAAAACATACCCAAAAAATTTTTATTTAGAGTGTGAATAACCATCATGGTGAAATCTTATCAGGAATATTATGTGAATCAGTGTGGCGGGGGGTTAAGCAATATAGGAAGTCTTTATATATCACCACGAATAATACAACAAGGACGAGGAATTGGAAATTTCTTTAGCGGTCTTTTTAATTACATTAAACCACTTTTTCTTTCGGGAATAACTGCTATAAAAAATCAGGCCGCTGAGACTGGTAAGGCTGTTATTAATGAATTTGGGAGAAAGCCATTAAGAAATATAATTCAAGAACAAAGTAAAATTGCTTTACAAAATCTGTCAAATAAAGCAATTGATAAAATGACACGCTTTCAAAATGGGAAACGGGAAAAGAAATAAAAAGAGGAGTACAAGAAAAAAAAGATCTCATTTAGCATCTAAACGACAACGCAACCATACCCAGACGCATCATAAAAAAAAAAGCAACAAGGAAATTAAATATAAAAGATTTTTTTCTAAATCAAAATGAGTAACCGTATCGAATGTATGAAAAGTGAATTAAATTTGTTTGCACCACATCCAACACAAAGTTCTATTTTAAGAACTGAAGAAGTCTCATATAATCCAATTGCTTCCTTGGACGAAGCCTCGTCAATAGAATTTATTTGCCTAGGAAATGGTGAAACCTACAGGGATTTATCTAGCGTTTATTTACGGCTTATTGTGCAACTTAGAAAAAATGACAATACAGTCATTGAAGGAAACGATGTCGGTGTAGTAAATAATATTTTACACTCAACGTTTAGGAGTTCATCAGTTTATCTAAATAACATATTGGTGTCACAAAATGATAATAATTATTATTACAGAGCTTATTTGCAAACAGTTTTAAACTATGGGAGTGATGCCTCTGAAAGTCACTTGGCCTCTCAAGGTTATTTCTCAAATTTCGGACGAATACCTTAAAAATATATTTCAAAATAGTAATAAGGTAGAATTATTCGGTAAAATTCATGGAGATATATTTAATCAACCAAAATTTCTTGTAAATAACGTTGATGTGAGAATTAATTTCAATATTGAAAAAACAGCATTTTATTTAATGGAATCCGGTACTGAATCAAATTTAAAGATACTAGAAGCACAACTTTTCATGAATCATATAACAGTTAACCCAAGTATTTTATTGGCTCATCATCATGTATTACAAACAAAAAATGCTTTATATCCGTTTAACAAAGTAGAAGTGAAATCTTTTACCATTTATCCTGGTAATAATACATTATCGATAGATAACGCAGTTATTGGACAGATCCCAAATTTTCTAGCATTCTGCATGATAAAAAACCGATCCTACTCTGGAAATCGTGGATTAGATCCATTTAATTTTGAACATTTTAAAATTCAACGTTTTAACCTCTTAGTTAATGGAGGTCAGATACCTTCTCAAGCTCTTGAGTTTGATTACTCAAAAGTCGAAAATGTTAAAAGTTCAAGAGGATATAATATGTTATTCAAATCTTGTGGGATTACGATTACGATCGAGGACTGCAAATTACAAAGGAAATGTTTGATACAAATAGTTTTATATTAGCTTTCGATCTAACTGCAGATCATTCAAACACAACTGTTTGCTCAAATTTGTTAACTCAAGGAACCATCCGAATTGAAGGAAGATTTTCTGAACCATAATGAAGCAATAACGTGTTTGGTGTATTGTGAATACGACTCTATGTTTGATATTGATAAAAATCGAAATATTCGAGTAGGGGAGAGTGGGGGAATTTCGTCAGCATTTTTTCAAAGCTATTTTTTGTCCATCTTGAGACACGTTATCATATTTCTATTTTTATTGTTGAATGCGGTTAGCACCAAGCTTTAAAATGTGACATTCCCCTATTTTTTTAATTAGCTTGGTGATTTATAAAAAAATAAAATGTAAAACCAATATACTGGGGCAATCTTACCACACAGGGGGGTAAAATCACCACACAACTGGGGAAATTTCGTCACCTGAAAAATGTAGGGAGTTTAACGCCTGAAAATATGCTACACTGATCAAGCGTACCATTTTTGTTGACGTCCTATATTTGTTGCTGCTGCTGGTAGTCTGTTCGTTAGCCAGCTCGTCAAATAAAAAAATATGTATCACTATGGACGGCAGTCCATGTAGTGACGAAGCGCACCAGGAGAGTGTGCGAAGGCGACTACTATTATATAGCCGCAAAATTGAAAATCTGCTGTGATAGTCCGATCGAAATGAGTAATACACCAATCGAAAGGTATTGCAAAAACTTAAAGGATTGCATACCAAGACTTTAAGAAAATCAATTGGCTTGGGAGAGAGAGCGGTGAAAGTGAAAAAATGAAAATTTCGAAATTTGGAGCTGTTGGGGCCGGTGGGGATAAATTCCCCTTCGCAATGCTTTAGTTGTATTCCTTTTGAAAATACCCGTCGAATGAGGGGTCATTTGTCAAAATCCGACGCTCCGTTCAAAAGTTATAGCCAAAATAAGATTTCCTTCTTCTTCCCAAAATGAAAATTTAATTCTGTTTGTCAGTTTGTCAGTTTGTCAGTTTGTCAGTTTGTCAGTTTGTCCAAAACATGTTTCTTAAGTTTTGAAAATGTAATATGACGTTCATCCCATCGATATAAAAAACTTTTGTTCTACCACTTTTGGAAAAACTCGCTAGTTTAGCGGGAAAACAGCTATAAATAGCTAAAATTCGGAAAACCGTAACTTCTATACTACTAAAGCTACAGACTTGTGCTGCATCTTGTTTGAAAGGTATTTTTAAATGCTATAAACGCCTTCTATATGCAATTTGTGTAAATGTAATAATTAAAAAGATATGAACAAAAGACAATTTTTTAAAACTTTTTTTTTAGCTTTTTTTTTTTTTCTCAAAAACGGCTCTAACGATTTTCTTGAAAACTTTAAACTGTATAGCCCTTGAGATTCCTTAAATTTTGGTATATAACACATTACTGTAAAAAGTCACGTTTAAAAGTTATTTTTATACGAAAATAGCCACTTTTGCCAGCTCGAACAACTAAAGCTTCCTGAGTATTGAATTTTGTGTGAGGGTATCCGAACTGTATTTTAGGGTCATGGAATCAGTAAATTTGCACTTAAGAGTTCCATATAGGAATCTTTTGTTCTACGACTTTTGGAAAAAGCCGCTACTTTAGCGGGAAAAAAGCTAAAAATGGCTAAATTTCGTTAGTTTGTAAGTTCTACACTACTAAAGGTACAGACATGTGCTATACCTCGTTTAAAAGGTATTTTGAAATACTTCAACGCCTTTTTAACTTAATTTGTTAAAATACAATAGTTTAAAAATTATGATTGACCAATTTAAATTTAAATGTATATATTAGCTCCTATGAGAGCAAATGTAAACAAACAAAAACTTCTGATATCAAATAAAAACACCTCTTAACGAGGTAAAAAACTGGTGACGACCGCACCTTCAACATACAAAAGTTCTGATATCAACATTTGTGACGAAAAATTATTACACTCGTCATTAAATAGACTTTCTAATCTTTTCTCATTCGTCACGCTGCAATAGAAAATGCCTGTAAAGGGAAAAAGGCTGGAATAGTTTGCTAGGGCGGGCCGAATGAGAAAAGATTAGAAAGTCTATTTAATGACGAGTGTAATAATTTTTCGTCACAAATGTTGATATCAGAACTTTTGTATGTTGAAGGTGCGGTCGTCACTAGTTTTTTACCTCGTTAAGAGGTGTTTTTATTTGATTTAAAATAGGTGCGAATTTACCCTTAGCGTAGGGTGGCGAAATTTCCCCAGACCGTACTTTTTTAGAAATAATTATTTTTCTTCTGAAATTAGGCGCGAAGTTAAAAATCACTGACGCAGAAATGCACATTATAGCACTGTGTATTATATAAAAAATCGTGTATCTTATTCCTTTTGAATTGTGGCATACAGAAAAAAATTCGTCGAGAACTAAATGTAGCTTTTGAACTGTTAAAACACATTTAATATTATAGCTTAATTATTTTGGCCTTCTGTACAAAACAAATGCATTGGTTGTGTCTGGCCGTCTTGAAGGACTTAAACAAAAAAATTATATATTTTTACGACTTATGGATTCCGAGATATTGCAGGTGACGAAATTGCCCCTGTGACGAAATTCCCCCACTCTCCCCTACTTCATTAAAATGAATACATTACAAATTGATAATTTACTTTCTAAAAATGGATTTACAAAAGATATTTTTAAAGGTGTCTTCCCTTGTGATCAATTACCAAAAACCATAAACAAGTATCCTGCGTTAATTATCGCCAACACTGATTCTTCAAGTCAACCCGGTACTCATTGGATTGCCTTCTATTTCAAAAGTAATAAATCAGCTGAATA